CTATAATTTGCACTAGACATAACAATTTTAGTACCGTAATCAAATTAGTACATGTGCAGTCCAGCTTTGCACTAAGGTCATTTATTTCTTTTGTGTTTCTTTTAGTATGGTGTGTGCATGTAAATGGATGAAAATAAATGAAGAAATTTATGTAAATCTACCCAAAAATACAGTTGAAAAACTTTATATGATAAAATGTACACTAATGTACAACAATTTTTATCTCTTGAGCAAAATATATGACGTTTATATTCAAATTATTGGCTGTCTTGCAAGGATTCCAGCAATGCAAATTATAATCTCCTAACTTTAGTCTGAGATATTATATAAGATAAAAACTGTAAGCCTAAAACCCTGGCTGAGCAGATGGGGGGAGAGGAAGGAAGGAGGGAGGGAGGGAGGGAGGGAGGGAGGGAGGGAGGGGAGGAGGAGGAGGGAGGGAGGGAGGGAGGGAGGAGGGAGGGAGGGTTATTTTTTAACTCATAATTTTGGGTAGATATATGTAGTTTTCTTCATTTTTTTTATCTAGTTATATACACACTGAATCTTGTATACAAAATGTGAAAAATAAATAAATACTGCACAGGTACCATAATTATCATCAGGCATAAAAAATTTTTAGCTCATTTTCAGGAAGGCAAACGTAATTTTTGCAAATTTTTACTCACTTACAAACACAAACAATCATACATACAGAAAGTGCAAAAATAAATCAAATAAACCATTATCATAAGGTATAAAGTTTTACATATGTACGGGCTTCCACCATGAAGCTGTGTGGTGAGTGTGTGTGGAGGTTGGAGAGTTTGTTACATAGCACCATTGATATGGATGCTACTGCGTTGTTAGGCGAGCACAAGGGGTGAATGGGACACAGTTTGAATACTAACTTCTATCATTCATGCTCTCTTCATACTTTCATTAATGATACAGTACATTAGAGCGTCGATTTAAAGCGATTCAATTTAAAATTATTGATTTAAAGCGACACCCACAATTAAGGACAATGTATTAATTTAAAGCGAATCTTTCCTATTTTACGTGAGTCATTCTGGCGCATCATATGGAAATACACACTATTTTAAATTTTGGGCCTAATGTTTCCCGCCAGACACATCTCTGGGCACGCTACACTGCTGCCTGCCACCCTCCCACACCTTCACGTATCCTCAGTTCTCACGCTGACGCTCTAGTGAACGGACATATTGTGTAACTATCCCCTTCTACTGCGAGCATCAATCATTGCCAGTACAGTGGGGTATGCTATAACGAATCTAATTGGTTCTAGAACCTCGTTCGTTATAGGATTAATCCGTCCCAGGCCCCCAAATACAACCACTTAACACTGAAAAAATTCTGTGGAAAATGTAAAAAATACGGTACTTTATCTTACCTTAGTGTTGTTCAGCATACAGGACAGGAGGCAGAGGGGGGAGGAGAGAATTATGGAGAAGAGGTGGAAGGAGAGGAGTCATCCTTCCTAGCCCTCTTTGGTGACTGTCTTACAGGCACTTTGTCTGTAGGTTCTTTTGTTACCTTTGTAAAGAAGGAATCCAGGGTTGGCTGCTTCAACCTTAATTTCTGGGCCTTCCAAAAGTAGTACATAACATTGTCAATAAACACACTGATGGCCTTTTGCACAGAACCAACATCAAGATGATAATCCTCAGCAAGTTTGGACAGTTTGCTCCAGCAAAAGAACGCATCCTTGAGATCTTTGGCTGGAATGATGCGGCTTTCCTCCTTGTCCTCCTCCTCCCCTGACTCCTCAGAAGTTAAGCTCCGCTTCAGTGTCTCGTTTTGTTCTTTGTGAAGCTCAAGCAGCTCCTCAGTGGACAGTTCCTTACTGTGCTCTTCCACCAACTCCTCAACATCATCATCATCCACTTCCAGGCCCATGGAATTGCCCAGAGACACAATTTCATGAACAACAGCCTCTTCTTCTAACTCTTCAAAGCCTTCAAAGTCTCTTTGAAGCACACATTCAGGCCACAATGGCCTCCAAGCAGCACAAAGACACCTTACAGTAACCTCTTTCCAGGCTGAGGTAATTAAAAAAACAGCATCTGCTATATTGAAGTGACTCTTCCAGAATTCCTTCAAACTAACATCACTGGAAGAAGTGGATGCAAAACATTTTCTAAACAGTGCCTTTGTGTACAGCTTCTTAAAGTTAGAAATTACCTGTTGATCCATGGGCTGGATGAGAGGTGTTGTGTTGGGTGGCAAGAAGTGCACAGTCATGAAGTTGAACTCCTCTGGCAATTCAACCATCAAATTAGGAGGATGGGCTGGTGCATTGTCCATCACCAATAGAGCTTTCAGTGGAAGATTATTCTCCCTGAGGTATTCCCGAACACTGGGTCCAAACACCTCAATCACCCACTCAGAGAATAAATTCCTGGTCACCCAAGCCTTTGGGTTTGACCGCCACATAACACCAAGAAGGGTCTTCCAAATGTTTTTGAAAGCTCTGGGGTTTTCTGCATGGTACACAAGGAAAGGCTTTATTTTGCAGTCACCAGAAGCACAAAGAAGGAGGGTAAGCCTGTCTTTCATTGGCTTATGGCCAGGGACAGAAGTTTCCTCCTTGGTAATGTATGTACGGCGAGGCATTTTTTTCCAAAAAAGTCCAGTTTCATCACAGTTGAATACCTGCTGAGAAACAAAGCCTCCCTCTTTAATAATATTCAAAAAATGTCATTGTGTTCCTTAGCTGCTTCCTTATCGGCACTAGCAGCAACACCATGTCTCACAACACTATGTATTTTATTTCTCCTTCTGAAACCAGTAAACCACCCCTTGGTACCCCTAAACACTGGCACATCACTATCACTTGCACTGGGAGTCTTGGCTTTAAGGTCCTCAAACAATTGTCTGGCCTTCTCACAAATTATAGCTTCACTAATGCTATCACCTGCCATTTCTTTCTCCTTTATCCACACTAAGAGTAAATTTTCCGTCTCCTCAATCACATTACACCTAGCTTTGCTAAGTCTAGAGATTCCCTTAGCCACTTGCACAGTTTTCAACTCCTCTTTATTCTTTAAAATCGTACATATAGTCGATTTAGCCATCCCATACTCAACACTAAGTTTCGCAATGCTTGTTCCATCCTCACGTTTCTTTATGATTTCTTTCTTAGTTTCAAGAGTTATGAGCTTTCTCACTCGCTTTGGACGATTCATTGTCACAATTGTACACTTGTATAACAAAATATTTATACAAATAACTCTATTTCCACATCAAAAGACGAAATTTCAACAATAATAGTGGTGCACTGGCTACACAATGAGACAAAGATGGTGCCTGACGCTCTTGTTGTGGGTCGCGGTACAACAATATTCATGTGCCAGGCGAAATGGTCCCGTATTCATCCGCGTTCGTTGTAGGAGTTGCGTTCGTTATAGCATTCTCAATTTTATAGGTAATTCCGTTCGTTATAGGAATACAGTTGGTCCTCATATTACGCGGTTAATGTAACCCGGAGGGTACCGCGGAAAGTGAGAAACGCGTAAAGTGAATAACATAACATATGGGATTAATTGAAATGGAGTCCGGGCCGATCCCCAAACTCCACTTTTTGACGACACACAACTATGTTGTAGTAAAAATATTATCTTAACTTTATGATGGCATGCACACACAATTAATAATTAAGAGAAATATCAATAATATTAGGTTTTTTAACACTTACATTAGTAGAAAAAGATGGCTGGGCACACGGGGATGGGCGGTTGGTTCCGAGGCAGAGGGCAGATTATTGGCCCTCACCTTGTATCAATTGTATCACTATCCACCACAGAGGCTTGCAGGGCCTCTTTGTCAAACCCCCCAAAGTTCATATAAGTCCATATCCTCACTATAATTATCACTATCACTGACTTGGGCCGGCTGTAGTGGGTGGCGGGTGAAGAACTCGGTAATGTTTTGATGACTGGGCGACCTTGTGCGCACCATTTTCGCGCCTCTTACACAACATGGCGGATGGCGGGAGGTTTGGATCCAAAAATGGCGCGGCTTGCCAGCCGCTCTCCGCGTAATGGGGTTCACGACCGCGGAATGTGAAAATGTTAGGTTCTGGCAAGGCACCGCGTTAACGGTGAAACGCGGAATGCGGGACCGCGTAATATGAGGATCAACTGTATTCGTAGTAGGATCCGTTCGTTATAGCATACCCCACTGTATGTCCAAGAGGCCAGCTAATACATCATTAACTACCCCAAAGACCAAGAAATCAAGGCAACAATTACACTGGAGCAGAAAATCAGGTGCTGGAAGCACTGCAGCGAGGAAATGGTGCTTCAAGTGTGGGGCGCCAATTTGGACAGTGATGTGGATGATGAGCTGGTCGAGTTGGGCTCTGCATCTTCAGAGGATGAATTCCCTTACTAAAGTTGAGTGAAAATCTATTTTTGATAGCATAAAGTAATTCAAAACTAAGTTGAGAGGAAAGTGAAAGTGCTTGGTGAGTCAGACGAGAGGCGGGTGGTGTGCGGCGCCAGCGCAACCACCCTCTCACATCAGCTGATTGCTAGTAAACAGACCATTTTGCATCCTGTAATTTTAGCAGAGTTGATTTATGAGTGTTTGTTTTAGCATAATACTACAAAAAACAATGTTTTGTTTATTCTAGGAGATGGGCTCCTCAACAGCTGATATTTAACTCACTACCACACAGTTACACACATGCAAATTTGTCATACAATAAGACCCTCACTCCCCATGCTTGCTATCTTAATTCCATTGTTGGATTGTGTGTGGGTGGTGTTGGAGTGTGTGTGTGTGTAAATGTTTGAGAGAGAGAGCGAGAGAGCGAGAGAGAGCGAGAGAGAGAGCGAGAGAGAGAGAGAGAGAGAGAGAGAGAGAGAGAGAGAGAGCGAGAACGAGAGAGAGAGCGGAGAGAGAGCGAGGCGAGAGAGAGAGAGAGAGAGAGAGAGAGAGAGAGAGAGAGAGAGAGAGAGACCTCAGTTTACTGGATATACCTGTACAGTACTTACTTTTCCTCCTCTGACAGTTGTGGGTCCCTGGACCGCTGGGCACGTCGTTCTCTCTCCTCCAAATCTGACCTGAGCCTCTGTGTTTTGGCATCAACTTCACGGGCCCTCACAGCTGCTGCCTTACGACTCTTGAGTACCTTGTCATATGCTCTACGTGTACCTAGTTATCAAATACAGTACAACTTTTTTTTTAATAAAAAAGGCCTGTAAATTATGTACAGTATTTACTATCATCCTATGACCCTTATTGTAATGCCATCTACACTTGTATTATTGAATATTGAAGTTATCTCTATAATATAAAAAAATTTAACATTTCTATCGTATTCTAAACTATAAGAGGACATTCTCTTTGTGTGTGTAAAAGTAAAGTGGTATGTAGCCAGAGAAAGAAATGGGTTGTTGTATGATAGTGAAGCATGAGCATTTAAATAGGATGACATTTGTAGACTTGAGTGAACTAAAATGACAATGGTGAGACAGATGTGTAATGTTAAGTTCAGTAATAGGAAACCCTTTTTGAAGGTATGAAGATAACTGGATATTAAGAGTACTGTATTGGAGAGGTTTTGTGGTGAGGAAGTTTGAAATGGTTTGGGCATGTGGAAGAAAAGGAGGAGATAATTAGGTCAAAAAGAACAAAAGTTTAAGTGTGGAGAGGAGCAGAGCCTGGAGTAAGCAACATGGGGAGTAGTCGAGAGCATTGATCTTAGGGATAAACACCTGACTAAAGAGGTTGCAAGAGAATGTGTTGTCTACAGAGCTGCTATTAAATACCTGTACTGTAATCACAGCTAATCCATGCAAGTGTGGAAAGTGGCTATTAAATGATGATATTGATGATAAAAAATTTTACCTGATGATATTACCCTTATTACCCGGTACTGTGTTAGACTTCACAAAACTGAGCAATTCTTAAAGTACAATTACAAATTTCAACTAATATCAGCTATTGTATTCAATCAGTAATTATTTTAACTGAAGTAAAAATCAAAGTACATTAGAACCTCTACACACCAGAATTCGCTTTTTCACCCTCTGAAGTGCTCCAGACCCACCTCTCTATTCACCAGAAAAAAAATTAATAAAAATAATACAGAAAATCCAGCATCAGCCCAGACTGGACAATTTGTGTGTTTGTACGCGAGGTTGAACATCTGTGTGTGGGTGTCGCACGGCACATGCTTGAGGCCTGCCTTCATGTGTATAGTATCAGTGCACCGCACCTCACTGCCTATAATCATTTACATATTGTTCTTTAACAAGGTTACTTCAGGGTTTTAAGAAATGGGTAAATTTATGTAGGGTACGTATTTTAAGAAATTGGTAAAATTAAAAAAAATGCTCATGAAAGGAATAACACTTCTTCACTGAATAACATACAGTGGTCTGATCAGCATATTGTCTTCTAGGACTAACGAGAGCTAAGATACTGTGTATGTACAGTATACAGGTTGGAGGGGTGGTGCATGGGGAGGGGGAGGTGGAACCAGGCATTGCCGCATTCACCACTTTTATTTACTGACTCAATATTATATTCTCTAAGATCAGCCTCTTATGATGTATGAGTCATAATAATTAATATAACATCTTTAATAATAGAAAAATACAATATATAATTTGTAATTTGACTTGAAAATAAAAGGATAAGTTTTATCGGAAGGTACAGTATTCACTCAGGACACATTCCCGAGAGCTTTCAGTAAATCAGTTGACAAAAGGATCATTATAACATACAGTACTGCATAGTATTTGAAATGGAGATACAGTAGGGTCGGGATATATAGCGACTTTATATAACGATTTTTTTTATATTGCGGCTACCAAATTATCAACATTTTCCTAAATACAGTATAGCGATCATTTTTTTTATTTTGCGAGGGAAATCGGTCAGGAAATATTTCAAATTTATCACGACTACCAAAATTATCAAAATTTTCCAATATACAGTAGGTTCTCAAATTTTGCGAGTTTTTAATTCAGCGTTTTTTATTTGGACACAAAAAAAAGTACTGCACACAATTTCAAATTTTGACGGCGGAAACTCAAATTTCGACGGGTTTGAGCGACCCACCAGTTAGTTCTTAGTTGTTTGTGGCACTAGCAGCGCCGTTAGTTCCTTCCCGCCCACGAACTGAGACAGCCAGAACTTTATCTCTTGGTGATCTCGTGTTCCGACGCTCATTTCGCGCCCTTGATATGGCAAATGTTGAACCAGTAGGTGGTGGGGGTCAACCTGGTGTGAATGGGAACCCTCCTAAGTGCCCAGAACCACCAAAGACAAAAAGGGAGTACAGAGTTGGCAAGAAACATGCAAAATATACAGTAGTTTGGGTGACAAGGTGAAAATTGTGGAATATATCGAGAAAGGCATGAAGACCAGTGAAATTCGGCGACTAACAGGTGCACCTGAAAGTACGATAAGAACACTGAAGCAAAAGAAAGGGACTATTAAACAACAAATGGACATTGGAAAGAAACATTTCGCCACCCACGAACGAATGAGTGCAGACACAAGTGAATATCACAAAATCATTACAATAACCAAGGCGTACCTTAGCAGGTGGTTGAGCAGGAGAGTGAAGGAAGATGCCAGCGTGTCCGGGCCAGAGTTGTGTGAGCAGGCTAGAGTGATTTACAGTGCATTGTGCAAAAAGGAAAACATTTCATCTCCCCCCAGTTTCAAGGCGTCTGTTGGCTGGCTTGTTAATTTTAAGAAGCGGTGTCAAGTGAAGTTGGTGAAGTATCATGGTGAAATTGCCTCTGCAGACATTAGTGGAGCAGACTCATTTCCAGCAATCGCAAAGCAGATTGTTGAAGATGGTGGTTATTCCTATGAACAAATATACAACTGTGACGAAACTGGTTTTTACTGGAAAACGTCCCCTACTACCATGTACATGCACAAAACAGAGAAACAAGCAAAAGGCACCAAACTCGCAAGGGTAGATTCAGTGTGTTATTCACTTGCAATGCATCTGGTTCGCATAAAATAAAACCTCTTGTTATTCACAAGTATCAGAAACCGCATGCATACAGGAATCAAGATATGAATAAGCTTAATGTGTATTGGGAGAAGACTGCCAAAGGTTACATGGAAAAAAATCTGTCAAAGAAGTGGTTTGAAAAGTATTTTATCCCTGACGCAAGGGCACATTGTAGGCATAAGAACCTAGATTTCAAGGTGTTGTTATTCATGGACTTCCACCCCAACGTACAAGCATGCTTCCTGCCAGCGAACACAACTTCAAAGATACAGCCACTGGATAGCTAAGCTCATGTACTACAGCACCGTTCACAACCAAATGCACCATGAAAATTGACAGGCAAGTTGAACTGCTACAAATTGCTACAGTTAGTGATATTGAGAGTGAAGATGAGAACGAGTCCCTTGAACCGTGTGCCACACCTGGACCATCTTCTGCCACCGAAGGACCGTCTTCCATCCCTGCCCATATCCTAACTGTTAAGCAATTTTGGAAAAAATTTAATATTCGCAATGCTGTTGACACAATGGTTGATTCGTGGCATGAGATCAATGTTCCAACAATCACACACACTTGGACACCACTCTTCCCCCATCTCAAGGTCGAGTTTGGAGGTGCCTCAGGTGCGCAGCAGCTAGACAACGGTTCACTGTTAGCAGACAGTCGAGTCAGTTAGGCGTGTAGGTGGTAAATTTGCTGAGGTCACGGAGGACACTGTTATGAACCTTGTGACTTTTAATTCTGAGGAAAACATAGCTGAGATGCTTGAAAATGATTCTGATTCTAGCTCAGACGAAGAAGGACAACCGGAAGTGATTGAAAAATTGACCACTGCCAAGCTGGCAAAGATTCTCGCAGGTGCAGTGACATGAAAGAATCACTTCAGAAATTCACCCAAGACGCCCCTGAACTACAAAATGCATTGCCCCACCTTGCCAGTCTCAATGATATTCTCATGGCAATTTACAACTGCAAAATCAGGAAAAAACAACAGTCTGTGATAACAAGATTCTTCCGAGGCCTCCAGGATGTAGCCGATGCAATCCAGAACATTCGCGTAGCAGATGGGGCCGAGGATGCTGCAACGGCAGATGTTGAACCACTCGGAAACAACTTAGACTTTGAAGGATTTCTGGATGTGGCCCAGGATGGACCCACATCCAACGAACCCACCTCTAGCCTCGGAATCAACCCACCATCCACCCAAGCCCATCATTGCTGTGTCTTCGGTTTGTTTGTTTTTATAACAAACTTTTTCTGTGTTGTTTTTAGTTTATATTTAACTTTATCTGTGTTATTTTTGTTGGTTTATTAGGATGTTGCTTTATTACAGGTAGTAATTCGCCAAAAAAGTAGGGTAAATAAGGTAAAATTTAGCCAAACAGCGAAAGTCCCAGACTCAAATTAATTTTCTCCATAGGAAGTTGTAGTACTCGAAAAGGCTAAAAAATTTATCTCTTGTGCAAAATGTATGATGTCTATTTTCAAATTATTCGCTGTCTTACAAGGATTCCAGCAATGCACTTTATATCCTGCTAACTTTAGTCTGACATTTTATAAGATAAAAACTTTAAGCCTAAAAACCACTTTAAATCTTGCCGGAAGTGGAGGGGGAGTTGATGTATTATGACAGCTGGGCCAGAGCCTTACAACAGTTACCTATGGTATTTATTTATCTGTCATATAGGGAGAGTTTACGTTTTTCTCTTATAAAATGTCACGGAACTGACCTGGGAGAATATAATTAACATTGCTAGAATTCTTATAAGATAGTGATTAGTTTAAATATAAACATGCTATAGCTTGCAATAGACATACAAATTTTAGTTTTAATTAGTAATTTTATTACAAAGGGCTAAAAATGCTATCTCTTGTGCAGAATATATGACGTCTGAATTCAAATTATTCGCTGCCTTGCAAGGATTCCAGCAATGTAATTTATTTTTTGCTAACTTTAGTCTGTGACATTTTATAAGATCAAAACTTTAAGCCTAAAAACCACAGTAACTCTTATGGGAAGTCAGAGGGGGAGTTGATTTATTATGACAGCTGGACCACAGCCAGACAACAGTTATCTGCCATAGAGGGGGAGTTTATGTTTTTCTCTTATAAAATGTCAATGAATTGACTTAAGAGAATATGATTAACATTGCTGGAATTCTTATAAGATAGTGATTAATTTGAATATAAATCATGCTATAGCTCGCAATAGGCATAAAAATTTTAGTACTTAATTACCTGTAGTACATATGACTAAAATTTTTATCTCTTGTGCAAAATATATGATGTCTAATGTATATTCAAATTAATCGCTGTCTTGCAATGATTCCAGCAATGTAATTTATATGTTGCTAACTTTAGACTGTGCCATTTTATGTCAAGTTTAGTCACTTTTATTGGCCTCCAGAACCTTACCCTATTTTCCTCATTGATTACATTTAATTATATATCGTGATTTAGTATAGAGTGAGAATCCTTGAACCCTATCTCGCAATATATCCCGACCCTACAGTATTAGGAATCTGGTGATTTTCTGACAATTTTGAAGAAGTCTAGAGTAGTGATGTTACGAAGCTTCGCAACTGCAACCGCAATTGTGGAGCAACCACATGAATTATCATAACCGCCACAACTGAAACAACCACACGAACCCACGTGGTTGTCGCGGTTGTAAAACAATCACAAAAGAGGGTTGAGAGCTGAGAAATTCATTGGGCAGTGGGACCCTCCAACCACTGCCTTTATGTACAATATGCTACAATAACAGATACAGTGAACAGTGTTTTTAGATTTTTACAGGTGACCATTTGTGACCTTTTTAAGTAGTAGTACAGATATTGGACAATCTGATGAAAATAAACCTCTTGTTTTATTCGCCAATAAAAAGTCATAATTTGGGGCAAAAAATTACCGTACTTTAATTTACAACTTATACTCAAATGTATTAAGTTACTTACGAAAATTTTATGACTATTCTGTAGTGTAAACTATGGGATGTTTCTTTCAAATTAATTACTATCTTGCAAGAATTCCAGCAATGCAAGTTATATTCTGCTCAGTCAAGTCAGTGCCATTTTATAAGAGAAAAACTTAAATTCCCTGTCTTGTATAATCCTGAGTCCCTGACCTGCACCACACCTCCCCCTCCACTGACAACTAATCTCCCCGAGCTGGCTGTGAACAACACACCACCCCCTCCTCCCAGTCAGCAGGGGAGGCTAGGTGGAGGTGATCAGGATTTTACAGGATGAATTTGGTTTCGGCTTAAATTTTTTCTCTTATAAATTGTCACAGACTTGACTTAGCAGAATATAACTTGCATTGCTGGAATCCTTGCAAGGTAACAATTAATTTGGGTATAAAAATCTAAAATTTGCATTAAGAAATACAAATTTTAGTCCTTTAGCTTAATAAATTTGAGTACAAGTTGTACACTAAAGTAGAGTAATACGTTGTTCAAAATTATGACTTTTTCACAGGGAAAAATCAGAGGAAGATAAATTAATAAGTTCACACAGGTTACAGGATTAATCTAAGTTTAAAGTTAATCCAAACAACCGCAACCGTGAAGCTGTGACTTCCTGACAACCGCAACCACAACTGTGGAGCTTTGAAATCTGACAGCACTAGTCTAGAGGCAATATGTATAAAACAATGACACACCCTTACCTGGATCTAACAAAATCTCCAGGATCTTCTTAAGTCTGTCAAATTCCTCAGCAGCATCTGGGTTATCTGGATTCTTATCTGGATGACATTTGAGAGCTTCCTTTCTGTATGACTTTCTTATCTGCAATATCAGAATACAGATCATGTATAGTACGGTACAGTATATGATACAATAGTAAATTTTTTATAAATTATGTGTGCCTGCAAAAATACAGAATATTGTACAGGTGCTCCTCTACTTACGAACGAGTTACGTTCCTGAGGCTTATTTGTAAGTCCAACTTTACTCTTATAGATACCAAACATATTGTAAAAAATGAAAAGATTATGGATATTTAATACAGCTATACCCTTTAATACAGCCTTAAAACCTGGCTCACTCTTCTCCTCTTGGGTAATGTTTGTTCTATCTGGAATTTTCTTCAAAATAATCCAGTCTCATCCACATTAAACACCTGTTCTGGCAGGTAACCCCCCTCTGTGATGATGTTTGTATCTCTGAAAATTTGTAAGTTGAACGTTCTTAAGTAGAGGAGCACCTATACCTGTAATGGTTTTTTAAACTTGTAAATTTTAAATACAGCATCACACACTTCTATTTTTATCCTTTGGTAAAAAACATTTCATGAGAAAGTCTCAAGCAATGAAATTGAACTATACAATCCTTTCAGGACAATATCATACTAACAAATGTCCATCCCTAGTCTTATGTTTATGTTAAATTTTGTCCACTCTACATAGGCATGGTAATTTTTTACACACACACTAAATAATTAATTTAATAACTAGAAAAATAGAGGCTTACCTCTTCCTCCACCTTCTCCTACAAAACTACTTTTCTCTCCAGCTCAATCAAATTACTTAGATTTACAATCTCTATCGAAGCTCAAAAATGAGTTCAGCTAGTGTTGAAAGTTGCTAAATTGTGTAATGTCTGGAAACATAAAAGTAAAACACTACATTGGTTGTCATGTCAGATGCGTGCTCTTGATGGTCGTATGTACAGCTCTGCCAGTGTCCCACAGGCTGCAGGCCTATGTTTGACACGTATCTTAACTGCAGTATTTATCAGTTTAAAGTCAACTCAGATAACTCAAGTGTTACTTCTCATTATTAATCATTATAATACAATAGTTAACTAATATTAGTTTTTTTATAAAAATTTTTACCAGAATTAAATTAATTGATGCGAAATAGTTAACTCATCTCAACTGCGTGAAATGCCTGATGGCTAATTATTTATAATACAGGAGGTCCCTGACTTATGAACATCTGCCTATACAAGCAGGGTTAAACTTGAAATTTACAGTATTTTATTTATTGAATTTTGTCATTCTATTTCTTCTTTTGTCTTAAATTAAGTGACTTTAGATGTATATAAGGACTTAGGCTATGATATAGTGGGATTTTAAACATTATTTTGTAAGTACAGTATGCATATAGCATGTGTTCCGACTTACGAATAAATCCAACTTACGAATGTCCTCAGAAACGGAACCCGTTTGTAACCCAGGGCCCCCGTGTACCTGTACTTGAAACAATTAACCAACACCACTACAGTATTTATATATTTTATACAAGTGAATCATGGATTATACAAATTATTGTGAGAAATCTATGCTCTACCCCTGACAACAAGCCTATTACACATTGAATTCACAAAGAAACCCACCACCCGTATATTCATATGCTCTTCAAGGTTCCGTGGGGCAAGTCGCTGTGAGGTTTTATTTACAATTCTATATTATTACAAAACTGTAGTACATGGAATTATACAAAGTAATTTCCACATTCAATAATGCCTGTTTTATCTATATACAGTACAGTACACATTTTAATTATTTATGATCTACTGTACTATGAAGAGGCTACTTTTTATTTTTTCACTGGAGATTAATATTTTCAAACCACAGTAGTCATGTAATTTTATTTTCAATGTAAGCTTTGAATTTTCTTTTAACACAAAAATTTCTTTCCAAAAAAAAAATTCTAAAAATTAATAGAACTTCTTTTATTTGTTAACATTTTGGGTCATTATTAATTTTTTGCCCATTCCCTCTTTTGAGTTGAGAAATAGTTTTTCTGGTGTATTTTGGTGTGTTTTAGTAAAATATGACCTTCATTTCTTTGGCAAATGAGTTTTTTCTAGAAAATCGACCTAACCTTACCTAACTCCCTACCATATTAGACAGAAAGTACTTACAGTATTTTGATATCTGGAACCAATGAAAGCAACTTTTTGGAAGTACTGTATCATAGAGTAATTTTACATTTTTGAGGGGTGATGCATATTAATGAGATATGACCCGTTTCACACTAGTAACAACAATGAATCCTTCCAAAGTGGGCAGGGCTTTGAAGGTAAAGGAAAATGTGGCATTAAAACACCAAAAAAATTTAATAGAACCTATGAGAACCTAATCTAACCATTCTTAATGTATATATTATAAACTCTTTCAACAAAATTCTTACCACATTTATCCAAAGGATGCACAATCACTGTTTCTGTAAACTTGGTTTTGCACACTGCAAATTGTTTACATTTAATAGACCAGATCCGAACATGACCAAGACACAATAATATTGATGGATTTTAAGTTCTATTACCGTAACACAATTTCGCAGGATATTACAGGTATGCCCCGAAAGCCGACGTCCCATTAACAGCCGTTTCGCATAACCGACGATTAAATATAAGGGAAATATCCCGCAAGTTTCGTTGATACCCCAGTGATCCGACGATCGGGAGACAAAGAGTTTTAAATATCCAATTACAGTACAGTGGTCCGTTTTCTCATCGCTTCAGGACGCCTGAGTCCTCCGTTTTCTCTCAATCTTAGAGTGCACCCAAAACTTCGTTATTCCTTAGTAATGACACAGAATTGGAAATTGCAACTGGGGTTGCAATTGTTGAGGCAACTTAGATATGTCTGATTACAGCAAATGTGTTATTGTCAATTTGTAGGTGAAAGATTTTATCCTCAATAGATGTAGGTGAAGCAAGGGGGTAACAATACGCCTGGAGGCAACTGTGTGATAACTAAATTCTTGGCTTGAAAAATGCGCTTTAACAGCAGGTGTGCAGATTTTGATGGAGGTGCGATAAAGAAAATCGCGATAACCAAGGGATGACTGTAACTGGGAGGGGAGGTCACCTCTCCAAAAGTACTCATTTACACTGGAAATAAAGGTCATACTCATGTAGAACCGTGCGAGAAACACTATAAAACATATTTTTTAAAGGAATTTCCATGAATGGTCACTACAAAATATTTACCCACTGCCCAATTTTGGAGGATTAATTGTCGTTAGTAGTGTTAATGCAGTCATATCTCATCAAATAAGCATCAGCCCCCAAAATAAAGTTCATAGTCATTAAAATCACAAGAAAACACATAAATATCACAATACAGGGTACTCCTGTACACTGTATACAGGTACAGTATTTTATTAATCCTTAAATCCCAGGTGGTTGTAAGGGACCATGTGCGCACCAGCCACAACAGTATGCATAGTGTGATTGCCTTAATTTTAAGCCTGAAATACCAATTTTTGACAGTGCACTAGCAGGAATGTGGAATGCCTTCCTGTGTGTTAAAATTCAACGCCAATGGACAAGCTACATTCAGGCATTTTTTTATGTCGAACTTATGAACTTATTGTGTGACCAAACAAATACCAGCAATGGTATGTGGGCAATGACATTGGCCTCAGAATATCTCCCAAAATGTATCAGTGGAGTTCTATTGACGTCGTAGAACTGAATGTGTTTTTTGCACTCCTCATGCTCATGGCACATATCAAGAAAGATGTGTTGCAGAAGTACTGGATTGTCTCAGAGAACATTTTTTCTCCAATGTTTGGAAAATATATTGCATGGGACAGATTTACCCGAATACTAAGTTACCTGCATTTTGTAAACAATAGCAACCCAACAAGTTGTGGAAACAAAGAAAAGTGTTTACGAAGCTCAAGGAACAGTTTGTGGCATTTTTCCATCTCCCCAGAAACTTGATATTGACGAGTCACTTGTGTTTTTTCATGGCCACGTATCTTTCAGGCAGTTTATTCCATTGAGAAGGCATCAGTTTGGGATAAATTTTCTGTACAGTGCAATTGTGAGATGGGTTACACGTTGGATATGGTGGTGTACACAGCTACAGGTGTGATTGTGAAGGTCTTGCTAAATAGCAAACTTGGGGAGAACCACATCCTGTACACAGACAACTACTACACCTCACCTGCGCCTTCTAAGTTCCTGCTTGAACATAACATTAGCTCCTGTGGCAAAGTGCACTCGAATAGAGTCAACTGGCCACACTTTACTGAAGATACTGGATTCCTGCTTGGGATTGTATTGCAAGTTATTTGTGCTTGTGGAGAATCAAGACCGTTTGCAAAAGTACATCTGTCGACACAGACTAATTAAGAAGATGTGAAATTTTTCAAAATGCAGTAGAGAAATAACAGTGAACAAAAATTATATATTTCATTTTAGCAAACGCTCGTACTTTAGGTCCACGTCCACAGAAAACATAAAATTATACCACAGTATGCTGCTCCAAGAAAAGTGCTTTCAGTGGTACCCTATATTAAAGTAAATTCTTTTTGCTTTATATGCCGGAGGAGTTAAGTAGGTTTAGATGGGTTAGGCTGGTTAGGGCAGGTTCTCTGCATTGTCATTTCCACATTCGTGTTTAGTATAATGCAAATAATATTTCCAGAAATTTTGGTGCAACTCCATAAGTTATTTCTGGTGCTAACAGTCTCCTCCAGCTTACCTTAATAAATAAAAAGGAAAATGTCGGGCATAAAACGAATCTTTATCAAAATGGTTATAGTAGAGAAGACGGTTTGCACCCAAATGCATTTATATATTTCATTCATATTTTCCACAGTTGTTCTTTGGATGATACTAATTAATCAAATTGAAACGACAATATTATAGTTTTTTCCTGTTTGGCCCATCCTTCAATCATAATCTTGTTAGTGGGCAAGGCATGAGAGATGAGGGAAATAACAGGGTAAAAACATTGTGAACTCTGATCATGTGGCAGTAATTACACGTCTCTACATGCTTTGTTGGCAAAGAAATACATTATTCACTGTGATTATGGTGCC